CAGTGTCTGGAAATGTTGTGGGACTACGACTTCGAACAAGAGGAGCTAATTCGAAAGCTTTTAAAGTAACTTTAACACCAGTCGCTTGTAAGTAAGAGTTTAATAAATTTGTGTTAAAATATTTCTATCTGTAGCAATTTGTGGTCCATTTTATTTAAATGTAACAGAAGAAATTAAAACTTTGGTTTCGCCTGGATATCCACACAAATATCCCAGTGACTTGAGCTGTACATGGATTCTCAAGGGATATTCACGATTTGTTATTCGATTTATTGATTTTGATATGAATGAAGAAAATAACCAGTATGTTGTGAATAATGTTTGTAGTGAAGACAAACTGGAGATTGTTGATAATTTGGTAATTAATGAGACTCATTAGTATAAATCATATAGTATATGTTATTTTTAAAGGGTTCTCTGTACTCAACTAACGATCCGGGTCCTTCATTCACAGTTTACGGTGACAGAAAGTTAACAACTGATTTTTTGGTAAGATGAAATGCCTTTAATTTGGCCTAAAGATCTACTAAAAAGTTTAAAAACACATTATTTCAAGAGGTTTTAAACAATTGGATACATACATGGATGTGTCATGATTGAATTTTGACTATTTTGTTTATTTTGGTCCATACTATTACCTCCTTAAATATTTTACAATCTTTTTCTAACACCCTGTATAGCAAGATGAAATTATAATAAACTCACAATCAATCTTATGAAACATAAAGTAAGAAGTGTGTAGATAAAGATGAAATTTACATTTTATTCATACTAATTAACTACCTAATTAACAAAAGCAAATTAATAATTTTTTGTAAGTAAAAATTGTATCTAAATAAATACTCAAGCGGGGAGGTTTTTGCGCGCATATGCAACACTCTCGCTTCGCTCGTTTATGCTTCAAACGGTACTTGTGCAAAAAAATAGATTTCTTGCCATCATTATGTAAATAACTAATTACCTTCAATTATTGTTTACATTTTTGTAGAGATACGAATTTCTGACTGGTAGCCATCAGTTTTGTGGCAAATCTGAAAAACCATTTGATTACTATTCTCAGTTTTACCAATTAAAGATTAAATTTAAATCAGGAAATCTAGACAAGGATCGTGGTAAAGG